CCGTAGACAATGGATTGTAAGGTCCCCGACCCCTTTCCTATGAATTTTGCAATAAAGCTTTCCCCAAAAGAAAGCAAAAACCATTACAGTTTCAACAATTTTTTTTTCAGGGCTCTGCTGGTAAGTGGTCGAATGGCGTGATACCTAACGCAAGCCATGGACGTGGCATAGCATCATAGGCCTCCAATGTCACATTGGATCACCTCATGGTACTTGTAGACGAAAGATGGTATATGATAAGAAGCAAGTCCATAGGGCTATTGATGAGGTGAAAATTTTTGATGCTCAAGAGCATAGGTATGTCAAAACTGCCACAGAGAAAGTAGAAGAACTGATCATGGTGCCTGGAGTGTGGAGTGTGGTATGATTCAAAGATCTTGCTTACCAGGTAATATCTCAAATGTCTTCCAGATTATGTCAAGGGTCTACTATTCAACACCGCCACTACCGCTAGAAATAACTTCACATCCCTCAACAATATGGCTCTAGACTAAGAAGCAAAGCTCAAGAATGCTCGAGCGGTACAGGGAGGATTGGTAGGGGTGAAGAAGAGGCCGCTCCAAGACTGGAAGAAGAAGGGTCACAATCTTTATATATATATATATATATACATATATATATATGTATTATAAAACAAAGTCCCGTTGTGGTCTTTATCCTGGTGGTGGTAAGAGAACCACCAGAATTGAGGCTTTGTCAGTCGGGCGTCACCTTCTCTACCGCGATGAGGGTGGGAATTAGGAGTGTAGGCAGATGGGAGTTCCAGATCTGGACTACAAGGAGAAAGGAGAAAATGTGACGCCCAACCTCACACCGAGCGCGACTTCCTGTTTCGGAGCATTAGTGGGTCTAGAAGTGCACATAGGGGTGTGCCAAGGATTTTAGGAAAGTGGGGATGGAGTCCCAGGTCGGAACTGGAATCTCTGGTGTCAAGTTTCAGGGGTAGGAGTGCAGGGTCTCGTTTTAGCTCAGAATCAGGGCGATCGCCGATCTCGTGGCCTGGGCCGGGGACATATCTGATGTACAGGCGGAACGCTATGAGTATCTCTCTGAGAGCGCATGTATCACTGTCGGCCAATGCACGTCTCAGAGTCTGATGAGGACGGTCGTAGTAGGAGACTGTGTTCCCGAAACTCTGCTTCGGAGCGGGTTCGTCGGATGAACCTTGCTTCACGATACTCGTTGTATTGCTGGCATTCCGGGCACAGTGTGCGGGGCCAGTAACGGGCTATGGAATCCCACGGAACAACTTGACGATACGGGAAAAGGATATAATAGGGAGGAAAACATGTAGTAATTGCGACGAAGCCTGGGGTTAGATAACATTGTTTATTGCAGGTGTCGGGATAGTCCGGAATCCAGGAGTCCTGGTTTATGGCCCACTGGAAATCGCCCCTGCACAGTCGATCGTTCTCAGTCTGACAGGGGTAGTCAGGATTCTGTGAGTTTCGTCGTAGCCTAAGCTGTTCCTTCTCCCAATACGTTCGATACTCTGAGTTCCTTAGGCTCTCGCAGTCGATGATCCAGAAGGGAGTTTCCACTGCCATATCCTACTCAACGGACTTTAATTACATACATTTCCTGACGAAGCGAGATCGCAGATGGGCTTATGCAGACGCACGTGTATGTTACAGATTCCGTTGTCGGACTTGCTGTCATACATGGGCGTTTGCGCAGGCCGACTGCTCAGATTCTATCTTGTTGCGCGGATAAGTCGGTGATAGGCGCTTCTGTCCGTGCGTGAGTCGGTCCCGTATGCACGCAATTATCTTACGCAACCATCATCATTCCACGTGAGATTCCAACATTACCTACATATCCATTCCCTCATGCAAAAAGTAATGAAATACAAATTAAGCTAACGCTATTGATCAAAACAAAATTGGAAATAAAAAACAACTCGAGAAAGGAGATACTAGTTCGTTCATCAACATGCATGCATAAAACAGAGAATCCGAGATGATTTACAAGAAAAATCTGAAACTGCCACGAAAGAATTGGCCAACATTGGAGTCAAAATGACACTGAAGATAGGAATAAGGACACTATTCCACCATATCCTCATTCCCCTCTCTCGGCACCTTCCTGGTGCGGGCAGTCCGTCACCCCGCACCCCCAAACCATACAGAGTCGTCACCCCGCTTGGCCCGAGCATGCAAGTCAGGTTCGCCTGCGTGCCACAGTCCCTCGCGACCACACGTCAACCCCGCATACTCAGCACCAGCTCGTCGGATCGCCCGACTCTCTACTCACCGTCTTTCTGCTCGTTAACCGATCCTCTCGACCGCACTAACTCCCAACTGGATTAGAGAGTCAATTAATCGCGCTTGCAAAATTTATAACTTGTGCCCCAATGCGCAATAATTGGGATTGCCCGAGAAGGATATGAGAAAGGAAGGAGGAAGTTCCTAAGGCTGCATGGCGGGGCCGCGGCGTCGGGGACGTAGCCTCATTCCACGCTTCAATCCAGTCATGGACCGATCTGGCCAATGAGATAGAGAAAGGAGAGCACATGCGGCGACGCGGGAAAGGGTATCAAGAAAGGGAAAGATTACAGTTACATCCGCGCAGGCGAGGAAAGAGCAAGAAGAGATTACAGTTGAGATTGAAATTTAGGCGCGGCGAGAACAAAGCGCAGACCCAGGTGCAGCAAAGCGTGCACAAGCAAGAAGTGAAGCGTAGTTACAGGCAAAAATTATGAGATACCCAATTTCCTAGTCTAATCAAGATTCTAATTGCAAAAAGGAAATTCTGAGAACCCGCGCGGGCTCATCACCAATTCAAAATTCTGAAGGAATTCCCCGCGCGATTGTCGGGTCAAAAAGACGGACCTTTGTCGAAAAAGAAAAAAAAGAAAAAGAGAACAAAAAAAATAATAGCAGACATTATTCCCCTGCGCTCACTAAGGTGCGAGCCAACTACCCCGACGTTCACAACCGCATTCCTTCTGTCGAGGGATCAATAACGTCTGAAAACCAAGAAGGAGGGACTGCAATGCAATTTATCCCCGATCCTTTTTATGTACCCCCTCCCCACCCCAATACCGGTTGCGCAGAAGATGGCGCTTAACAGAAAAAAAAGAGTTCGTCACAAAAATAGCAAGGTAGCTGCTCAGAAGGGAGGAGTTGTTGTTGCTTGGAAGGCCAAGGAAACTGGCCCAGCAAAAGGGGTAAAGGAAAGAGCAAGCCCTCCAGAGAGTCGCCATGAGTTAGGAGGGCCTTAAAAAAAACGTTTGGGATTACCGTTACTGCTTTGGGAAGTCCATGATATAGGATGGCGAGACAGACCACATCAAGAAGCAGTCTCAAAGCTAAATCAAGAAACTAGACGAGCCAGAAGAAAGTGTAATCCCTTCTACAGAATCTGTAGAGGTATATGATATAGTCCCAGACGGGCTAGAAACTACCTCCACCTCTTAGAATAGGAGAGTTAAGGTTGTTGATCTTTATGTCACTCCTCCGAGTCAATCGTAGTCTGGCCAGAAGATACTCTGTTCTCGCAATGCAATTGATTCCTTGAAAGAGATAGAGTTAAAATGGTATCAGAAAGATTTCATGGCTTCCTGGGTGACAATGGCAAAGAGTCTCAATGGTGAGTGCAGCGGTGTCGGACTTTTTCCCAATTGGACCTCTCTAGGCAACCGGAAAGCCAACAGATTGTCACGCAGGGTTTTGTATGATGTTGCAATAAATAAAATAAATTAATTAAAGCAAATCCCTTCCTGTTGTATGCGTCCGGCTTCGAGCGAGACCCTTCAATTGCGGTCTTCGTCGGTCCCCGGTTTTAGGAATCTTTTATTTTGATTCGGAACAACAACATTTTATCTTTCGGAGGCAGCCCCCGTCTTCGGACATGGAACAACAGCATTTTATCTGTCCGACGGCGGTGCACATTTCGATAAAATGCTGGGGGGGCTCTCGTACATGTCTCCGTAAAATTTCGGTGTCCGACGACGGTGCACATTTCGATAAAATGCTGGGTGTCCGACGGCGGTGCACCGCCGTCGGACAGATAAAATGTGCGGCCGAAACTGCGGTTTTTGAAATGTGCACCGCCTTCGGACATGGGTTTTCGGCCATGTCTCCGTAAAATGCTGTTTGATTCGGAACAACAACATTTTATCTGTCGTTTGGGCTTTCGGCCATGTCTCCGTAAAATGCTGTCGTTTGGGCTTTCGGTGTCCGACGGCGGTGCACATTTCGATAAAATGCTGGGGGGGCTCTCGTACAAACAAGGTTGGCTACTGCGGGCCGAAACTTGTCGAACACGTCGGTGTCCGACACAATTTGGCACGCAGTAGCCAACCTTCCTTTTCTTTGTCCCTGARATTGTTGTGTCCCGTTCTATATAAAACGATTTGGCGTGAGGAGCCGAGGTCCGCGTCACCCTGCCCTGCAACGAACAGTTCTCACCACCAAAACGAGTAAATTTTTGGACTTATTCTCTCACTTGTACGGAGCAGACGTGGGAGACCRTCGRTTAAATGYTGGGCTGCCCTCGTACAAACAAGGTTGACTAGTGCGGGCCGCAAGTTGTCCAACAACGCAGGGTCCGTCGCATTTTGGCACGCAGTAGCCAACCTTCCTTTTCTGTGCCCCTAAGATCGCTGTGTCCCATTCTATATAAGGCGATTTGGCGTGGGGAGCCTCATTTTACGTCGCCCTGCCCTGCAACAAACAAGTTTCACCACAGCTTGACAAAACACATTGTTGTGTCATGTTACCATTAGAGAGTCAGCCGCACACACCACTCAATCGCACAAAGATGAGGAATACAAATGTTTGTACAATTGTGTATCATAAATAACAGAAGTTGTGTAGTTATCAGACTGTATGGAACATACGGCTCGC